CAAGTTCGCCCGGTCCTTACATTGGGGGTAATAGGAAGTCACATCGGCTACAGAAACTCGAACCCACACTTCAAACCCCCGTACAGAGTAAGTCTTCTACTTGGTGAGGATTCAAAAATCTGACTGCCAGCAAGTTACAAACAATGATGTCCAAACTGTCCAAACTCCGTCTACTTAATAGTTAGTAGCATACATGTATATTTTTTGGACAATCTTCAATTTTTTTTTGGGCATATTTAATATGAAGTCCTGTGGTGGACAATAATGAAAGCAGTAAGGCCTCGGCTTCTTTCACGACCCAGTAAACTGTGACCGGCAGAGAAAAGTGGGGGGATCTTGGAGCAACTTTGTCCAATGGAGACCGGCATAGTAACAGCTTGGCGTTTATTTCAGGCAGCCGAGTGCGGTTGTTTGAGCCAGACCCGTTCCAACATGGGTATGTTTACAAGAAACATTGGTCGGTATAAACTTGGTAGGGATTTTGAACCGGGGGTGTGCATAATATATTTCACTGCCTTGTGAACGTCACCGTGCTCGGCTTCTTGGGAAGTCATGGACCCAGTAAACTGCATGACTGAATACTGGACCATGACCGGCAAAGAAAAGCCGAGGTAATGTTTGAGCAACTTGGCAAATAAAACCTGAGTGAAGACGAAACTCGGCCATATAGTGTCAACTGGATGGGACCAGGTTGGGCTGATCCATGCTGCATGGGATTCAAAGCTCTTCAGCAGACCCATGACACATGAGCCCATTCCATGAAGAGACGGGTTGACCCAGGATCCAAGGCATATTTAATTCATGGGGTACTAGCTGACTGACCATGTCACCGTGCTCGGCTTCTTGGTAGGTGATGGACCCGACCCAGTAAACTGCATGATGACCGGCAATGAAAAGCCGAGGTAAACTTGGCAAATAAAAATGAGACAGCTGTGGGCTGATCCACAATGCATGGGATTTAGAGCTCTTCAGCTGACCCATGACACATGTTGAGCCCAATCCATGAAGAGAACGGTTGACCCAGGATCCAAGGCATTTTTAGCTATGTCAATTCATGGGGTACACTTCTCAGCCGATGCACAGTACCAGTCCTAAGAGAGTCTTGATGGCCGGTCCACCTTTGATGGGGTCAACTGATCCATGGGCTCATCAGCAGGCACCATCAACTATGGTCTGTTTGTATGGTCGGGGGGCTCAGTATTAGTGGGGTAAGGTAACTAATACTTGTGCGAAGCATTTGGACTGGCCAAGATGACAATGAGCACACAGCAAAAGACAATGAGCACACAGCAAAAGAGAGGGTGACGTGGGAAGTTGAACTTGCACAGCCTTGGAGTGAAGAGCAAGAATTGATGATGTGTGTCTACCATGTACACAAGGATGCATTTGATGGCGACAGTGTTATGCACCAGGGGATGGGTGGCAAGTAGGGGAAGCATTCATCACGGTGTTCATTGTAGCTAAGACATCTGCCATCAACCACAAAATATTTGTCCTCTGGTCCATCAGGTTGCATGGTCTGGATCTTATGCGCAGATACATTGTAGGCATTACTATGACATGGAAGTTGACATAACCACATCATAACATGTAATAAGGATATGCATACCTAATAACTTGACGTGGATGGAAGAGATGCATATGAATCGGGTTTGGCGTTAGAGGGAGGGAAGGAAAGAATGGGGAGGCATTTATGTTAAATAAAGCCCTTGCACAGTTGATGGTAATTGAATCCATGTGCTTGGATCTTGGTGCTTAGCATGCGTGCAATGAAGAGGAAATGGTGGGATTGGAGAACCCAGTGAATTACTCCACAAGACGAACATGGTCGAAGTGTTTGGACTGGCCAAGACGACAACAGGTGCATAGAGATGGCATGGTG